CACCTCTGGAGGGCCTTCTGGAATTAGAAAACCTGAAGTAGCTGGAAGATAATGAGAAACGGAAAAACGATCAACCCCTGCAGCACCTAACTAACTGGGTACATTCTTCTGTGGTTTCTTATTCTGGCCTCAATTGACAAGGCCATTGGACTTTGTAACCGACCTTGGTCAGCCTCGTGACTCCAGATCCTATGACCCCCTCCCAGCTTGCAAAAACTCCCTAACCTGTAACTTCTGTAACTTTCCACTGCTTACCCCAAACCTATAAAACCAACTCCTCCCCCACTGCCCTCCACTGACTCTCTTTTCGGACTCAGCCCGCCCGCACCCAGATGAATAAACAGCCATGTTGCTCACACAAAGCCAGTTGGGCAGTCTCTTCATTTGGAGTAGGTGTTTTAACACTACCTCTATGTCCACCAAATTTTTTTCTTTACATTATTCTCTAAATTGCTTTCTGTTGCTTGTAACCACAGAACTCTAATGGGTTTGGGAAAGCAGAACTTAGAGAAGTGAAGAGTTTGGGAAAGAGCATGTCAGTGGAGGGAACAGCATGTGCAAAGGACTTTGAGGTAGAGGAGAGCTTGCTTTTCTCTACACCACCCCAATGCTTAGTGATTTGAAAGAACCACCATTTTATTTCTCACAATTCCCAGGTTGGCCGGATTATTTTTGGCTGGCTTTCCCTGGAGCTCACTCATGTGGCTGAGAGTTGGTGGGTTTGGTGAACTGAAAGAAAGCCTGGGGCAGAGTGTGCTCAGCAAGGGGCAGAGCAATACCAACATCTCTGGAAGGGCAGGCTGCACCAGACCTCACGGGGCCATATATAAGAGTTCAGACTTTATCCTAAGTGCAAAGGAAAGTTACAGACACAGTTCAAGCATGGGAAGAATATTTTAAATAGCAACAAATGTCGCCAAGGAAAAACAGAAAAGTTCAACTAACAGAGTAAAGAACTATGAATTGGTTATCTCAGTTCTGCTCTGAGGCAGCTCCAGGTCCTTGGGTATTTGTAAGGCTCTGAGGATTTCTCTTGGCCCCAGTTTTCTCATCTATAAAATGAGGTGGTGGATTAGATGATCTCTAACATCTTCTCTGACATTTTGTGATCTATGATAAAACCATGCCAATAAACGTAGGCCAGGAGTGGTGGCTCATGCCTGTAATCCCAGCACTTTGGGAGGCGGAGGCAGGCGGATCACGAGGCCAGGAGTTCAAGAACAGCCTGCCCAATATGGTGAAACCCATCTCTACTAAAAATACAAAAATTAGCTGAGCATGGTGGCATGCGCCTGTAGTCCCAGCTACTTGGGAGGCTGAGGCAGGAGAATCGCTTGAGCCTGGGAGGTGGAGGTTGCAGTGAGCCGAGGTCGCGCCTCTGCACTCTAGCCTGGGCAGCAGAGTGAGACTCTGTCTCAAAAAAAAAAAAAAAAAAAACATAAATAAAAGAAAGAAAGAAAGCAAATGTAATGGGCTTATAATAAAGTGGGAGAGATAAACACACCCAACCTCTATGATACCTGCTGTTGATGTTACAGGGAATTCTAATGTTTAAAGCTTTTGGTAGCTTACAAGCTGATTTTGCCTGCCCATTGTTATGTTGACTGCAGAAGGATTTTAAACAGTATGAGGCTTAGTAACCCATTCAATGAAGAACTTCTACAGAGGGTATTTACATGAAATGTGATGCTCTGCTAAGCTTAGATTTAGTAACTTCAACTGAATGCTTCATAACAGAAAACACTAGCGGGAGTACTGATTCTTGAGTGAATTTCCTCTAGAACTTTTAACTGTAGGAGTGCCTATGAGTGATCTGTGTGTCAGGTACCTATTACTGTATAGCAAACCACCCCAACACTTAGTGATTTGAAACAACCACCATTTTATTTCTCACAATTCCTAGGTTGGCTGGATTATTTTTGGCTGGCTTTCCCTGGAGCTCACTCAAGTGGCTGAGAGTTGGTGGGTTGCATAGCTGGATGGCAAGGCTTTCTCTTCTCAGGATCTTTCCTCTTCAAGGAGGTTGGACCAGGTTTCTTCATGGCAGTCTCAGGGTAGCATTCCAGGAGAACAAGGAGCAAGGCACAAATGCACATCGAAAGCCCCTGCTTGTGTCCTATTTGTGTCCCAATGGCTAAAGCAAGTTGCAAAGCCAACTCCAGAGCAAATGAGGGAGGCAGCTGCAGAAGGATACCTCAGTAGGGGTGATTCATTAGAAGCCATTAGTGTAACAATGTGTAAACTTTCCCTCTGAGACTTGCATTGCAAGATATGCAACCCTAACCTATAAAGGATGGCACTTTTTGTTGTTGCTGTTTGAGACGGAGTTTCGCTCTTGTTCCGCAGGCTGGAGTGCAGCAGTGCGATCTCAGCTGATTGCAACCTCTGCCTCCCGGGTTCAATTGATTCTCCTGCCTCAGGCCTCCCGAGTAGCTGGGATTATAGGCAACCGTCACCACGCCTAATTTTTTGTATTTTTAGTAGAGACGGGGTTTATCATTTTGGCCAGGTTGATCTTGAACTCCTGAGCTCAGGTGATCCACTGGCCTCAGTCTCCCAAAGTGGAGGGATTACAGGCATGAGCCACCGTGCCCTGCTAAGGATGGCACTTTCACGAAGACACAATATCTTTGGTATTACTAGTATAAGGGAACATGTGGAGTCACCTTATTAAGGGACTAAGTCCTACATCAGTGGCTCTGCTTGCTTCATAAAATTATTCATTAATTTTTAGCAGTGGCCTTGGGAAGTTATGTACATAATATTTAGAGGAAAATGGCATTTACAATGATAATGAATTAAAGCAATTCACATGGCAATAGTACTGCCCCAATTTAGAACCTGAGGCTTGCTAATTTCATATTTAGTCACATCCCACATACTCCCAATCCCTCTCCCCTAGTGTAGAACTACAGCTTAAACTCCCTTGAAGGCAGGAAGCTTACCTTACACACGCGTGTTCCCCTTAGTACATAGAACACTAAACAGATGCTCCTTGGATACTTGCTAAATAAACTGATCAGTAGTTGCCTTTTATTAAATATACTTGTGTTTCAGGTATTTCCATCACAGGAAATACCTGAAACGAATTCTCTCCCAAGGTGACAAGGTCTAATTCTCCAAGGTTTACCATTGAGGGGACTGAGGTGCAGAAAGCCCTAAGTGTAGGCAGAGCAGTCCCCTCTGATCTCACTCCACTGCACTGCTGTCTTTTGTATGCAGCAGGAAGGACACTTCCTGTTAAAATGAAAAGAAAGCCTCAGGTTGTTTGAGAGAGGGTTAGGAAGAAAACCGGAAGAGCCAGTAGACTGCAGGTGCTTTCAAAGAGCTACCTGTCTTTGACATCCATAAAATAAAAGCTTGTTAATTAAGAGATTGGCCACAGAAATCCAGGTGGAAAACCTGCAGAAGAGTGGGTTCTATAATTCTTCAAAACAAAACAACCCCAAGATGTGTTAATTTTTACCGGTGGAGGGAGTGGTCTTTCTCCCAGGGCTGGCCTTGCTGAGCAGGTGGCAATACCACACATACAAAGGTTTTACGGTTTGTCCTCAGGTGAAAAGGTAGTCAATATTTCACATTTTGAAGATAGTTTTTAAAATCACCTACTGCATCAGTAGTAATACAACAATAACTACCATTTACACGTCGCTGCACACATCGGGGCCGTGAAAAGTGCTTTACAGAGCATCATCTCAATTAATCCTCACAACAACTCTATGAAGTAGGTTTTATTATTCTTAATTTATAGACGTGTTAACTGTGGCCCAGGGAGATGAGCTTTCCCGCGATTGCCCAGCTTTTAAGTGGTATTTCTAAAACCTAAGTGTGTTTGACCAAAAGCCCTGAGTAACATTTAGCTGTGGGCCTCGTGCGGCTTTGGAGCTGGTCTGAGGTGGGGAATTGTGAATCCCATTTATTTATGCTGAGCTGCGCACATGTATGCACGTGTAATTTACAAAAAACAAATCCAGGTCAAGATCTCTGTCTGCTTGAGGTTTAAAAGCCTACTTGGGTAGACAGCGGCAAAAATCAACTCATTCATTTACTCGTTTGCTTTCTCCACAAGTATTTATGGCGCACTTCAGTACTCCAGACAGGGCGCTAACCTAGCCTTGCAGGAGAGAATGCTGAGCACAACAGATATGACGTTTGCTTCCAACGATCCCCTTCCCGATTCTGGTTTCTCACTAGCGAGGCATTCAAAGAAGCAGGAAATATATCAACAAGGGGGCGACTTCAGCACCAGCTGCGCGGGAGCCCGAGAAAGCGCGCAGAGCCTGCAGAGGTGGTCAGGGAGAACTTCCTGGAGGCAGCAGCAGCCGCAGGCGGGGCGGGAACCCAGGTCGCTGGGAAGCGAGAGTCGGGGCCGGGGGCGGGGAAGAGGGGGCGGAGGCCGAGGCCGGGCGGGGGCGGCTGGCGAGTTAGGGTTAGGGCGGGAGGATTCGGCTTCCCGGCGGCAGAGGGCGCCTGGCGCTGCGGTCCGGCGCGCCGGAGCCGCCCGCGCGGGCGCCGAGAGGAGAGACGAGGCGGGGAGCGCGAGCGGCGGCGGCCACTGCCACGTATTCCCGGCAGTGGTGGCAGCGGCGGCGGCGGCGCCCGCGGGCAGGTGGGCTGGGAGCGGCGCGGCGGCGGCGGGGCGGGCGAGCCGGCGGGCGGGCGCGGGGCACCGGGCGGGGGTGCGGCGCCGGGACAGCGCGGTTCCCGCCACGCCGGCTCCGCCTCCGTGCCGTGCTGCCGACTCAGGCCCGGCGGCCGGCAGGTCCCGAGCGCAACTCGTGCGGGCGGGCTGAGGGCCGAGGGACGCGAGCTCGCCCGCCCGCCCGTCGCGGCTCGGGACGCTGCCTCCCGGTGGCTGCGGGGCCCGGGCCGGGAAAAGTTGGGGCGGACCGCGAGCCCGCAGGGCCGGGCGGGAAGTGCGGGTGCGGGGCGGACTCAGGGGTCGGGGGACGCGGTGCAAAGGGCTCGGGCCGGGGCGGCGGGGAGGGCCGGGTGTGGGAAGGCGGGAGACGCTGGTTCTCTGAGGACGCCGAGAATGGGGTGCGCTCAGGGTTTCTGGAAGTGGACAAGAGTCCGGCCGGGGGCCCTGCGGGTGAGAAGGGTGGGACCCAGGGGGTCGGGGTGTAGAGGTGCGGCGGGGCGGGATAGTGCCTTCTCCTCCCCCGCCCTGTCTTGGCAGACCCTGAGACCCGGGGCAGGCTCAGAGCTGGGGACGCCTATGGCTCTGAAGACCCAAGGGGGAGTTCCTGTACGGGGTGGGTGGAGGAGGGAGCTCAGCATTGCTTCCTCTGTCGCCGGCGCGGACTACCGCCCCTCCCCAGCGGCCAGATTCACCTCAGACTGCAGTGCTTTTGCCCTGGATAAGTTGAGGAACTGCTGAGCGGATGAGATGTTTGGGCTGTTGCAAGATGAGTGGGATTAGGCTATATGATATCATAACTATCAACCGGAGCTGTCTGAAAACACTCGCATATCCACTCATCCAGTCAGTACTGCTTACTGCTAAGCCCCAGCTTCCCTTACTCTTTAAGAGACACCTCTAGGTCTCCAAAGCCCAACAGCGCATCTGCTCACAGCTTTGAAGGTGGCAAGAGTGGCCTGCTATGTGTCTGCGTAGGTTGGTGCTTTCAGGAACAAGTGGTTCTGGAGGTACTGGATGCTTTATTAGAACAACCTGTGTGGTGCCCCTTGCCAATGGAGATGACTCATGTTGGCTTCCCCCCCCCCCCCAAATAAACTTTGTATTCAAGACACCAGTATGCCTGGTCATTTGCAGCAGTAATCCAGCAAGAGACCCATTGGATTTCTTGAGCCCGTGTTGTCGTCCCAGATGTGTCAGCAAGAAGTTTGACCTTGGATGAGTCACTTGCCCTCTTTGAACTTGTGTTTTCTTATCTGTCACATGGGGTATAAAGAGAGAGCCGCACAGACTGATGGAGACAGGAGTAGGTTTCTGAGGGACACAGTGAAATCTTTTTCCTTGTAAGGCTGGATTTGCCACACAAAATAAGCCTCTGCTTGTTCTTATAAAGAAATTACGATAGATTTAAAAGAAAATATGAGAAGCAAGAAAGATTGCACAAAGCAAAACAACAAAAAACTAATAATAGTTGGTATTAGATTTACAGCATGAATACTGTTTTATGCTTGCAGTTAGTGTACTTGGTTGTCCCGCTGTCTTTACTATAAAGTTGCTCATTGTGCTTAGAAAATATGTGTTTCACCTGTGGACCCGAATTTTTTCTTATTTTTTAACCTTCAAGCTTGGAGTGGACGCTCAGTTGGATTGGTCTTGCTGAGGTTTGCCTGAAGAACATCCTCAGGGTCTCTCACTGCTATAATCTTACAGGTTTCCTTCTGTCTGACTGAGGCTGGGATCCTTGTACAACTATGCTTCTGCCATCTTTTCCATTCTGGCTTGAGAAGTGGTGAGCTGGTTCCTCTCGCCTCTGACATGTCCGGGCTTCCCAGGTGTCTTTTCAAATGAGTGTAGTAAAAGGCAATCAGAGTGTTAGATGCAGCACGTTAACAATTGCTCCAGGCAATCGTGTGTCCCTTCCACTCCACCCCTGTTCCTTAGACCCTCTGGGCAACTTCTCACTAGAACTTCCTGGTCTTAAGCTGGCCTTGACGTTTAGGATGCTGAGGGCCATCACAGAGTTGAAATGACTTGGCCAGGGTCAAACCGCACATTGATGATCAAGCCATGGTTTTGGAAGAAGAGGATTTTATTTTTATTTTTATTTTTTAAGGATTTTTTTTTTGTACTTTATTATAACCTAATGTTCCTATACTTGTCCATTAGTAGCTTTTAAAATCCATAATGGGTTTGATCACATCACTTTCAGTAATCCTTTTTTTGTCAGCTTTTTGGAAGTTGCAGTTAGTGGTTATCTCTTGAGTTTGAGGTAGTGGTATTTTATTATTAAACATTTTTTTTTTTTTCAAAATTTTTAAAAAACTGCTTTCCTTTTCAGACCAGATGAGGTAGTGGTAAAAACGATACCATCTCCAACAAGTAAAGGCTTGACTAATTAGGTTAAGTCTTTAAAATATCAAATGTGTATAAATTTTAAAATATCTGTGGGTACAAATTTTACTTTAATTGAGAAGTATGAATAAAAATCATATCGTCACCATTGGAGCCCCTGCCATTGACCAGGGATTGTGAGGTGGGAGCCAGCTTCATTTTACAGGAGAGGAAACAAACCCGAGAGACGGCACAACTCTGGCACAGCTGTCATGGATAAGTTACTGATGATCTTTCAATCCACATACCATTTTAACAGTGGAAAAGGAATTCTCAGCTATCCTACAGGGTTGTACTAGTTAAATGAGATCCTGTATGTCTAGCAACAAGTAAACTGTAACGGGCTCCCTAGCCCAGCACATTTTAACATAAGCACTTGTGGACTCTGGAAGCAGTGTGGTGAAGTGGTGAGTTCAGGCATCTTGGGAGTCTGGCAGGCCTGGTGTAAATACTGAACCTGCTGCCTGACCTCTGTGAGCCTGATTTCCACATGTGTAAAGTCAGGGTAATACTGTCTGCCTTATATTCAATGAAATGTACCCACTAATTGCAGTGGGTGCTGAGTAAAGGTTGGCCTCCACTCCTTTCTCTCCCTTGCACACACGTACTTGGGATAATGAGATTGATTAAGTCTTTCAGCAATTATCCTCGAGGGGAAAAGGCTTAAAGTACTTTTTTGTACTTATCAATAATTCTTCTAGCCTTTTTGCCTTCCCAACCCAAGCCCCAGCATGAATATTCCAGGGCCTGTAATTGTCTGTCTTGTCTAAGAGAGAACTGAAAAAAATCGTAAGCCAGAAAGGACAGGTCTTTGATAGAAAGTTGAAAATGGATGTAGCTTGGTCTCCCTTTGCCCATTTTGTGGCTTTCTTCCCTTTTTTATTAATTTTGCTGGACAGGGAAAAGATACAGAATTCAGGGGGTTCTAGCTGGGGGGGGGGCCTGGAAGAGGCTGTAGTGAAGGGCAGCTAGAGGGAGGAGTGTGATCTGGCTGACGGTCAAAGCTAGAATGTGGTGTGGGGGAAATTTCTATTAGATGCAGGATTTGGCTAAATATGGAGCCAATTTCCATCTAGTCCTTTAAGGCCCTCTTTTGGGACTTTGAAGTTTTTGTGCTCCAGGCAGATTTTGACTGGTTGTGGTGGCATCATAAATGAGTTTCCATAGTAAATTGTATGCTGAAAGGAAATTAAATTCCAAAAGGGTGTTTGTTGTGACTGATGCCAGAATTTCTCTGAGAATTTTATTAAGATTCAGTCTATAAAAGTACTTCTTAATACTCTGAAGATATTATTTAGGAGATAGTTTTTAAAAAGTAGAAGTATTATCTTTGTGAGCTTTTGAAATGTCATCTTCCTAAATCTTTGGAGCAAATGAGGCTCAAAACATCATAGAGACTTATATTTTAAAAGCATTTCTTCCTAAATGTAATGTTTTCCTTCTCTTCCTGTTCCTTCCCTCCTCTCACATTATTTTGATAATGAGTTAATTTTGGTTTCTTTCACATTGTTGTGGCCTAATTTCTAAATTTATGACCCTTCATTTCTAGATCTTGCATGTATGTATTTTTCCCTTAAGTCAATTCTCATTCATTATGAAGAGCTTGTATAGCAAGGTGGGAAAGAGAGAGGACCCTGGAGCTAGGCTGGCAAGAGCTAGGCTCTTTAGAACTTGGATTCAGTCCTCACAGTAGCTCTGGGAGGCTGATCATGCTATTCCCTACACACAGATGTGGGAATGGGTGCAGAAACACATGTGTGTTCACACAGCCAGCAAGAGGTTAATCTGAGTGTCAGCTGCAATGATCTGTAGGACTCCAAAGCCCATGCTTCCAGCGAGAAAGGCAGGCAGGGGCCTTGCATGCTGTGCCAGGGTTGGGACTTAGAACTATAGGCAGAGAGGGTCATGTTTGTATTCTAGAAAGGTAACTTGGTGGCTGTATGGAGTTTTGAAGTGAAGCAAGTAGAAATTAGGAGTAGAGAAATGAGCCCATTAAAGTAATTGTCTTGAGAGGTGACAAGGGCCTGAACGGAAGACATTAAGACAGTGGCAATGGTGGCGGAGAAGAGGGGACTTGTTGGAATCCATAGAGCTCAGTGCCTTTGGATACTAGAATTGAGGGAGGAAACAAATCTGAGCCTTGCCTTTCCTTGTCTCATCCCTTCCCATTTCAGGTCTGATGCCCCAGGGATGGGTGTTGAAGATGCTATGTGCGGGCTAAAAATCGCCGCAGAAACCAAGAGTACGTCCTTTTGTGTCTGCCGACAGCTAGAGAAAGGTGGCTGAGCGCAGTCGGAAAGGGCCTTCCCCTCCCTGTGCCACCCTAGCCTTATAATTCCTAACTTTCCAGGAGCATCACAGAGGGTGGAAGTTGGATTCTTGACTGCATTTTGGGAAATGCTAGTTTGAGCCATCAAACTTAAGGTGAGAAGTGTGGAAGGGAAGACGGCTTCCTGGTGTGTTGTCTGCACACCTCTTTTCCCTGGTGACACAGGGGACCCACCAGCGTTTGGTCTTCAGTTCTGTAAGAGTTGATCTGCTTTAGATGGGGTTGACTTGTGGTCACCAAATTTGCAGGGGTTGACTGGGAAGCAGGAGTGACTATGAACATAATGGCCAGTCCCTAGAGGAGTCGAGGCCAGCCTCCTCTGATGGGTGAAGTCTCTGCGGGGCGCCAAGCCATGCTCAGGAGAGCGGGCTTCAGAGCACGGGGAGATGGTTGGCTGAGATCTCTGTTCCTGTCATTGGTAGGATGCACTGTTGCCACACCAGGAATATACTGGTCTCGTGCCCTCTCCTCTAGTCAGCGCCAGATGTGGTAATAAACTTGCTTTTGGGCTTCTGTTTTTCCAAGTTGTGCAACATCCCTGCCCTTCTGAGAGTTTGTGCTGGCTCTGGTCAGGCCGGAGGTCAGGTGGTCAGATTCTGGCTTTATTTGGGCTGTGTTCTCACTGGGAGGAGGCAGCCAGGTTACCTCTGTTGGACCTGCCTGCTCCCAGCATCATCAGCCACAAGTGTCTCTGCGGTGAGTCACTCCATGCAAGGGTCTGCTCACCCACTTTCTCCTTAATGTTTACACCTGTCCCTCAAAGAGGGAACCTCTTCTCCTTGTTCTGAGGCCACTTCTCGGCAGTCCCCAAAAGTGTCCAGTGAGTTTCTTTTGTGGGGTTAGAGTCTGTGCCAGACAGGTATATGCTTTAATGGGAGAAGAGCATTTCTTCCTGGGGATGTAACTATCGTGCCTACCTCTTGAACATTATGTCCTGAACAAAGTCCTTTTCTTGTTCATTTTGGTGCATGTTTGGGTGTGTTTGCTTTAATTATTACTGGGAAGCAAAAAAGGTATTTATCAAATGTTTAAATCTGCAGCAGCATCTCTGCTTAGGCAGCAGAAGGAATAAGTGTTTAGCGAGGATATCCTTGATTTATCACTCTTTTCTCCATGTTGTTGCTGTTTTGTTGGCAGAACCCTCTGATTTGTATACCGGTTCAACTTGGATTTCAGTAGTGAGTGTGAAAAGATTTCTGGGCTGTTTGCCGAAGAGGAGGGGCTCGAATAAGTGGGCTTCAGGGCTGCCAGTCTTGGCTGTCCCTGCAATCCCAGGAGCCGGGCACGTGGTGCCTTTGTCAGGAAGGTGGAGTTTGGCCAGGTTGTTTCTTTGGCTTTGCCTGGGAGCAGCTCTATTGGTGACAGTGGAGAATCCCTCTTCTATGGGAAAGGGAATTCTCTCCTAATTCCGGGTTTGGCTTATTTCTCATCTTGTGGGGATGAGCTTTGTTTGCAGCTTGCACAGAGCTTTTACAGATGTTTTCCTTGCATCCCACATTGTCCTTCTTCCCTGTTGGTTCCAATTCAGTCTGTCATCAGTACCATAGAAACTGGTTTGAACTTTGTCAGTCTTGGGAAGACCTGGGATTGCAGCATATAAACCTGTTCAAATTGGTGCAGCAATTTCACATCAGCATAAGAAGCCTGTTTTGGTGGTGGTGGTTTTTTTTTTTTTTTCAGTCAGTTTACTTGCTTTTCACATATCATATAGGTAATATGCAAATGTATTCTCCTGCAGTCTGCCCTCCCATTTAAATAGCACGGAAGCACACAGCAGACATGTCACATTCCCCTTCTCCCAGCACCCTTCACCAGGTGCCACCTCCTCCAGGTCCTCAGAAATAACCAGTGTTAGCAGTTGGATCCGTGTCCTGAAACTGTCAGTCTGTATACACAAATACACTGTGTGTTCCTTCTTTTCAAAGCATGAATCTGATTGCATCATACTGCTTTTTTCACATAGTATATCTTCGAGATCTTTTCATGCATGTAGCTCTTCTCTCTTCTTTTAATTTGTCTTTTATTTGCCTATAAAATATTTTCTAGTATGTGATAATTTATGAATTGGTCCCCATTGATGGACATATAAACTAACTCATTAGTTTTGCTATTGTATCTTCATACATACATATTAGTATGTACATGTTCCTCTAGGAGTGGAATTGGCATGTCAAATGTTAAATTTATTTAAAATGTCAGGAGGCTGAGGCAGGAGAATTGCCTGAACCCAGGACGCAGAGGTTGCGGTGAGCTGAGATTGCGCCATTGCACTCCAACCTGGGTAACAAGAGTGAAACTCCGTCTCAAAAAAAAAAAAAATTATTTAAAATGTTACAGCAGTACCCGTACTATGCTCTCAATAGATGTACTAGTTCCTATTACCAGTAGCGTATGGGCTGCCATTCTCCTGGGTGAAATAAATGGATTGTTGTTTAGTAGGTTTTCATTTATTATTGATGAGGTTGTGAAACTCTTCATTTGGCTTCTTGATTCTTAGTGCTGAGATTGTAGACATTCAGAGTGGTGGGTCCGTAGTAACCCTAGGTGAGGGAACCAAACCGTCAAGGATCATGGCTGAGCTCAGGGTGGTGTGAGCATCATGCTACCAGTGGTGGCATTGTGGCACCTGGACGCAAGAGCTCCTGGTTTCACACTCTCTCTTTCTCCCAGATGCTAGGTATGGTAATAGGGCACTTTAATTTTGGTGTAACTTGCCAGGATACTTCTCCAAACCTTTCATCTGAGGAACCAAGGATATGTGGATATTGATTAAGATCAGTCTGTCCTGCACTGCTGAGGCATGGATTGGAGACTGGGGAGTGGCACTGGGAGGACACTTAAAGATTGTGTGCTGGAAAATCAGGCGCTGTTGCTTCTGGAAAAGCCTCCAGGAACGTGGTAAAGCAGATCTTTTCTTCTGGTTGCATGTGATTGTTCCCCCTCTCCTGGCGTGCTGTGGGAATATTGTGGTGCTTTAACCCTTAGCAGAATGCCTTCTGGAGAAGCAGTGATTTCTTAGAAGGTGTTTGAGGGGCGTGGCACAATGGGCTGGTAGAGGAGACATCTTGTGGCCTCCATGAATAGCCTGATCCCAGGGCCCTCCCTGAAGACTGGGCTACACAGTGGGCTTCAGGAAGCCCTGGCTTGCTGGACCAGAGTCCCTTACCTATCACTCAGAGAGACAGAGGGCAGGAGTGGGGGGTGGGGAACCCTTGGGGGACAAAGGGACTGCAGAGTTGAGCCACGCTGGGCCCAGCTCCCATTTGGCCCGTTATGGCTGTGTGACTTGAGCAGCTATTTTATCTCCCTGGGCCTCAGCTTTTTCCTGTAAATTAGAAGTTATAATTAATACCTGCCTCACAGGGTTGTTATAAAGATTAAAAAAATCATGTTCATAAATCTCAGCATATTACCTAATTAGTACTTGGTAATTTTAAGTAACTCTACCTATTTGTGTTCCCCATATATGTGTGTCTATATGTGTGTGTGTGTGTGTGTGTGTGTGTGTATATATAATTTTTTTTTTTTTTGAATACAGAGTCTCATCCTGTCGCCCAGGCTGGAGTGCAGTGCTGTGATCTTAGCTCACTGCAACCTCGGCCTCCCAGGTTCAAGCAATTCTCCTGCCTCAGCCTTCCTAGTAGCTGGGATTACAGGCATGTGCTACCACGCCTGACTAATTTTTGTATTTTTAGTAGAGATGGGGTTTCACTCTGTTGGCCAAGCTGGTCTTGAATCCCTGATCTCAGGTGATCTGCCTGCCTTGGCCTCCCAAATTGCTGGGATTACAAGCATGAGCTACCGCACAAGGCCAATAATTGTTTTAAAATGGATGACTACATATTACATTTGCTAAATATGAAAGTAGACGTAATCTGGTAACCTTAAAGAGAGGTCAGGAGATTAGCAGCTGCCTAGGGCAGATGAGGGTGGGGGCTATGGGAACTAAAAGGGATGAAGGTGAGGGGCTTGGACGGAGGCCTTAGGTGGGCAGGGGAGTTGAGTTGGGATGTTATTTTCCAACGCCATTTCTCCTGCAGAAACCCCTGCTTTGTGCACACCAGAGCCCCACACGCAGAGGCTTTTTCCTCTTTTTTCAGATAGACTGAGGGCTAGGGGGTTGCTAGTGCAACCTCTGCCATTTATTTCAAGGAGGCTGAGTGAGGCCCTGAAAGGCAGAGTGTCTGCCTCAAGCCACACAGCTGGCCAGGAGAGAGCACGAATAGGCCCAGCTCTCTGCTCCCTTCTCCACATTGCCATGTGTTGCCCATAGCCAGATGCAGGAAAAAGACATTGGTGTTAAGCACTTTGCAAAGATCTGCCATTTACTCCTCCCAAGGTTCTTGTGAGATGAGGTTGAGATACGCATGTTCTTCTGTTCCTTCAGTACCAGCCACAGGTTGATGTCTTCATTCCCCTGCTCACCTGTAATTGAGGGGAGGATCAAGACTGGATCCTGCTCCCTCTTTCCCATCATACCACATGTGTCGTTACCTTTTACGCATGGAGCAGCTCTCTTGGGGACTGGTGTGGCACTCAGTCAAATACATGAGTAAGATCCAATTCCCAATTCAATCTTTCCCTGGCTCTTGTGTCTCTGAAGTGAGGACAGTTGCCTCCCTGTTTTGCCCTCTGGGATTAATACAGCACTCCTACCTGCCTTCTAGGCTTATCCTCCACTCAGAATTCATTCAGGAAATACACTGTTCTAGGTGTTGGGGATTTTGCACCAAACAGAAGGAACCAAAATCCTGTTCTCATGGGGCTTATTTTCTAGTGAGGATGACAGACAATAGTGATTAAAATACACGGCATGTTTATTAGGCTCCCAAAGCTGCTATAACAAAGTGCCAGAAACTGAATGGCTTCGACAACAGGAGAATGTTTTCCCATGGTTCTGGGGAAAAGAATCAGTCATCTGTTCCATGCCTCCCTTCCAGCTTCTGGTGGTTGCTGGCTGGCCTTGGTGTTCTTGGCTTGTGGCAGTGTAGCTTCAGTCTGTGCCTCTGCTGTCCCATGGCGTTCCCCTGTGTGTGTGTTTGTGTGTGTGTGTGTGTGTGTGTGCGCGCGCGTGTGCGTGTGCGTGTGTGTGTGTGTGTGAGAGAGAGAGAGAGTGTGTGTGTGAGTCAGAGTGCTCCAGAGAGACAGAACCAATAGGACATAGATAGATGAGAGGGTTTTTTTTTTTTTTTTGAGACAGAGTTTTGCTCTTGTTGCCCAGTCTGGAGTGCAGTGGTGTGATCTAGGCTCACCGCAACCTCCGCTCCTGAGTTCAAGCAATTCTCCTGTCTCAGCATCCTGAATAGCTGAGATTACAGGCATGCATCACCATGCCTGGCTAGTTTCGTATTTTTAGTAGAGACGGGGTTTCTCCGTGTTGGTCAAGCTGGTCTCAAACTCCTGACCTCAGGTGATCTACCCACCTTGGCCCCCCAAAGTGCTGGGGTTACAGGCATGAGCCCTCGTGCCTGGCTGAGAGGGGATTTTTTAGGGGAATTGGTTCACATGATTATGGAGGCTGAGAAGTCACATGACAGGCGGTCTGCAGGCTGGAGAACAAGGAAGGCTGGTAGTGGGACTCCATCCAAGTCCAAAAGCCTCAGAACCAAGAAAGCTGATGGTGTAAGTCTCAGTTTGAAGTTGAAGACCTGAGAACCTAGGGGTTTGGGGGCAGGATGTGCTGGTGCAAGTCTTTCTTACTCAGTCCATTGATTCAAATGACAGTCTTTTCTGGAAACACCCAGATGATGTAGTACTTTACTAGTTATCTGGATATCTTTTAGTCCAGTCAAGTTGACATCTAAAATTTACCGTTATAAT